CCCCCCAAAACCCCCCAAACGAAAAAAAAAGCCCAAGGGAAAAATAAAAAATAGCTCAAGGTTTCTGAGGTTGAAACAACCCACGACTTAGATGATCAGCGTCAATGATGTGACATCATGACATTGGAATGTTAGTAAAACCATAAATCACCTCTGACAGAAACCATGCAAACATTGAATCTGGAAACTCCTATCAAACATGATTAATAATCCACACCCACTCTATGTATGGATTCCATACATCACGGAAACAGAAATGTCTATGTTTCCTGCATCTCATAGGACATTTCATTTGATAATCACCTAAAACCGCCTGTGGATTACGGACTGGTCAAGAGAGATGGCAAAAGGAGAAGGAAGAGAAAAGTTTGGTAGTCTTTACAGTACACGGAGAGAAGACACGAACAATGGCAACCAATAGCGCAATCTAGTAAACACGTCTTATTTCTCTTCCTGCTCTAAGGAATTCAAACATTGAGAAATAGCCGTTCATGTTTAACAATAAGAAAAGCAGAAGTACCTTTTGTATCTCTTCTTGGAACCACAAGGACAGAATGCATTCCTACTAATATGCCCACTCTTAGCCAAGTTTGATCGTGCAACATCCATCGGGGATGAACCCATCAACTTTTGAACCTAATATTAGAAGAACCCAAAATAAGTCAACTTCATATAACCACAGAAAAAGGAAGCACCAATACTGGAACACATTGTATGCATTCTTTTCTCATATTCTGAAGACTCTGTGCAGAACCAAGTATTTGGATGAGAAGGATCTTGAGTGCTATTGAATTTCCACCACGGCCCATAACTGTTAACTGGACCAGAGACAACAAACCCATACTCACTTCATAATGATACACATGCACCTACATTACTGGCATCTATAACTGAGGATTTCTTTTTTTTTTTTTTGATGAAGATAGATAAGACTGAAGATTTCTTCTTTTTTTTTTGATGAAGTAAGATAAAACTGAAGATTTCTTTTCTTAGAATGCAAAAAGAATATGCATCTCTCCACAATGCAAACAAAAATCCCAGAAAGTGAAAGAATCAAAC